CTCCTCCAAGCTTGGGCGGGATTCGGGCGCTGGCGGCCGGATGAGGGGATTCGGCGGGGGCCGACATGACGGCGCTGCTGGCGGCCGCGGCTCCGCTTCAGGGAGGTGGGCGGAGGGAAGGGAAGGCGGGGCCGGAGAGGCGAAAGGAAGAGGAAGGAACGCGCCTGGCGTCACCGAGGGAGTCGCCCGGGACCGCGGCCGGGTGTCGGCACTCCGCCGGGGAGACCCGCTCTGCGGACGCAGGTGCCAGGCCCCTGGCCCGCCTCGTCGCGCCGTGCTGCGCGCCCCAAACCCTGAGTGCGGGGCTCCCGACTCGGGTGGCTCCCCGCACCGAGGCCTTGGGCCGCCGACGCAACGCCCCCTGCAGGTCGAAGCCCGGCAAGCTCAGGCTCGAGGCGGGGTCCGGGGCCGCGGCCTGCCCGCCAGCCTGGCGACTAAACTGCTCCGGCACCGGCGGAGCCCCGGTCGCTGTGAGAGGGAAGGGATGGGCCCCGGTAGGACTCCCATCTGTGCGGAGGCTGCGCGCGCGGCGAGCCTGGCCCCGCGGGGTTGGGAGGGGGATCCGCGCCGCACCCTAGCCTCGGAGTGACATCCGGAGCTCAGGGCCACGCCGCACTGGCCTGACCCCACCCACCCTTCCTCCTGAACGGGAACCCTGGATTCACTTTTGGTTTTTCATCTTGAAATTTTCCCTCTCAATGTTAATTCTAAAGGAAATACGGCATTCAGGGTCCCTGTCTGTAGGAAAGTGTAATCCTCAGCAAAGGAAGAGGAAACATTTCTCTTTGATAAACACAAGGATCGAAATAAATGCGTTATTCTAAACTTTTCCCACTAACTTAAATCTAGGGAAGGGGAAGGAGGAAATAGAGCAAAAGAAACTGGAAGACAAACTTTTATCTTCCTCATTTTTGCCAAGAGTTGCATCATTCTGTTGATGTTTAGATGAGAAGCTATAGCATCCAAAGCAGAAACTCCGCCTGCATTATATACCTTGAAATCTTTGAATCCCTGGCCTATGCCAGCAGGCTAACTGGCAAGCAAATCTTGGACTTTATTACCCAAGTCATTTTTCCATCTTAGAACCCTTAGTGTGCTACCATCTTTATTAGAAATGAAATTGCTCAAGGGCACCTGATGGTTAAGCCCTCGGTGGGTTAAGCCTCTGACTCTTGATTTATGCTCAGGTCATGATCTCAAGGTTCCTGAGATCTAGCCCTGGCGTAGCCTGCTGGGGATTCTCTCTCTCTCTCTCTCTCTCTCTCTCTCTTCCCCCTCCCCCACTCGTGCTTTCTCTCTCTCTCAAAATAAATAACAATTAAAAAAAGTGAAATTGTTCAGAAACATTGAATTTGAAATGGGATGTAGCAAGATGTTTCTGGAGTGATAAGTCTAATTTACCGAATAATTATGGAAATCATGTAGTGTGATCTAGAATAATGCAAAGCTTCCCTTTTGTTGTTCCTATGAATTAATGGTATTTGGTGCTTTAATGCATCAAATGGACTACAAATAGGATTGCAGTAGTTGAATAAGTACTTTTGAGTTTTAGGGTTTTCAAAGAGACGTCATGCTCCACATAGAAGTGGCAAACTCTTTTCCGCAGCATTCCCAGCTTTTCCACAGAAACCTAAGCCCTGCATGAGCAAAAATCACACTTTGCTTTATCAAGGAGATTACATGGTTACAGGTTCCAAGGCTTCCCAGGAGTTCTTTGAAAAAACAAACAAACAAACAAACAAAACGCTGGATTAAGGGCTACCATTATGAGGGTAAGGAAATCACTAGGCAATTGGCATTTTGCCCCTGAATATATCTTCCTTTAATCAGAGGTATACGTAATGAAGGCAAGCCCTATCTGTTTTAGGGGAGACTCCTAAAGAGGAGGACTGGGACCATGTTTCAGCAATCTTCCCCACAATCTTTATCATCTGAGCTGCTTCCTCTTGTCCACTAATTTACCATAGTATTTTCTATTTTCTAGCATGGTTATAAGAATCTTTTGCATGTCAGATCCTACAACTTTTTTTTTAATGTTTATTTATTAGAAAGAGAGAGAGTGTAAGGGCAAGGGAGGAGCAGAGAAAAAGGGAGAGAGAATCTGCACTGACAGTGCAGAGCCTGAGGCAAAATTTGATCTCATGACCCTGAAATCATGACCTGAGCTGAAATTAAGAGTCAGACGCTTAACCGACTGAGTCACCCGGGTGCTCCAGATCCTACAAACTTTATGAAAATGTGTTATTTTGCTCTCTTGCTTTAAGTTCCGTGACAGCTATCAGTGAAGAAAAGGATAAAGGCTTGAATGAGTGAATGAATGCTTACCATGTGCCAGGCACTGTACTAGTCACTTGAGATGCGTATATATGTGGATATATATATATATATATATACATATTTCCATTTAGTCTTCACAATAATGCAATAACTCTACGGGATATTTTTCTTATCCCCATTTTACCAGAGGAAACTAAGAGTTCTAGAGTTCAGTATTAGCAAAAGTCATGAACCTGTAAATAGCAGAACCAGAGATCAAACCAAGGTCTATTTAGCTCCAAAATCTTTACTCCATTCACTACAAGCTATGCTGGGTTCATTTACATTTTTCTTCATAAAGCTATGCTAATTATGATACACTGTTTTGCTTGTCAAAGGATTTTCAGTTTTGCATATTTAAAATGTATTCCAGTATTCTTTAGAATGATGGATCTCAAAATGTTTGAAATGCAAATTAACAGGTCCCACCTAAGACCTACTGAACACTGGACGTGGGCCCCAACAGCAAACTCTCCTGGTGATTCTGAACGTATAGGAAAATATGAGAACCACCGCTTTTGAATAGCAAAGTTAAGGTGACTTGGTTCATTGTTTTTTTTCACATTGGGAGGTAATGCTCCTTTTCTTCAGGACGTCTCTTCAATTTTTTTGCCAGTCATTAAAAGTGATCGTTTTTAGATGTGTGATGACAGTGCCAGAAATGCCAAATATGGCAGTGCCTGTGTCGATTCTGATCGATAGGCGGTGTTGAAGCAAATGCTGACCTCCAAGTCTGTGTTCAGTGGGAGAGTGCTGTAATTGAAATTAAGCCCTTCTGCAGGTACAGGAGGGAAATTTTTGCTGAGTGTTAGATTCTGACACATGTGCCACTATTTGTCACCCCTAACTCAGGACTTACATTCTCTATAACAGAAATTGCAGGAGACTTCACAACTAAAGACCTATGTGGATCTCAGAAGATGCTAGTGCAGTCCTTTCTCTGTTGTAGCCTGGCTTCCCATCCTCAGACAGGTTTTTTTATTCTCTAGTTTTTAAATCATGTCTGACCTTTGTGTAACACCTTTTTTCTCTCTTGTGTTTTTTGTAATGTTTCTTTACTTATTTTGAGAGACAGCGCATGTGCAAACATGAGTGAGGGAGGGGCAGAGGGCAGGAGAGAGAGAGACAGAATCCCAAGCAGGCTCTGTGCTGTCAGCACAGAGGCCCACGCGGGGCTCGATCTCAGAAACTGTGAGATCATGACCTGAGCAGAGATTGAGGGTCAGACGCTTAAACAACTGAGCCACCCAGGTGCCCCATACCTTTTCTCTTTTAGTAGCATTCCCTATTGGGTGTCTCTCTCCCAACATGAAAAACAATTTTCTTCTTTCTCCTTCTTTATCTGATCTATTTACACATTTATTGCATTTTTAGTAGGCCCGCACTTTGAGT